CTCATTCAGAAGTGTTTGTGTTCAAACGAGCTGATTTTGTGTGAAGACTAGCGGGGGGCTCAGTGCACAGCGCGCTTGACTCACACAGAGTCAAGGCGCCACCTGGAATCGATGGAGCTCCACATGCATGTATTCAAGCCACCTTGCTGTGTGTTGAATGCCTAGAGTTGTGTGTGTGTGCGTGTGGCAACGGAGCGGAACTGCAAGGAGCGGAACTGTGTGTTTGACTATGCCCACGCTTTCCGGGTCTGCATCGTGAGCTGTGTTCTCACCAGAAGACCCCCCCTGCACAGCAGTGTTCTCGCCATGTGGATCTTGGGCTCGTTGCAGTGGTGCCGAGTGCTCGTCGCTGAACCTAGCGGACATGGCCAGGCCGGCTTTGCCTCCAAGTTCTTGAGCGGTCGTATGTACTGTATAGACTGTATATAGACTATATATATATATATGTTGCATATAGACTATATATATATATGTTGCATATCCTTCATGTGGGGATATGTCAGGATAGGGTTTCCAGGTCTCCATCATGATGAATACATTTCTAGGTATTCCTTCAGCATAGCCGGTGGGCAGAAGTTTAGGGGTGTTGTGTGTGTGTGTGGACGGCTCACGTGGCGATGTGCGATGTGGTGGTTTGTGATGTGGCAAAAAGGCGTTCGTGGTGTTTTGTGATATGGTGACTGAAACTGAAGCCTATAGTATGGTGATGAGTGAAGCTACTCAGTCCTAGATTTGGGCGTCACTACAAAGTCGCAGTTGTGAGCCTGCTCCCGGAAGCTTTCAATTTGTACTACGAAGGCGCCAGTGTGAGTGAGCGAGTGTGTGTGAGTGAGCGAGTGTGTGAGTGAGTGAGTGAGTGAGTGAGTGAGTGAGGGAAGGAGGCAAGGCGAGAGAGAGAGAGAGACAGAGAGAGAGAGAGTGAGAGAGTGTGAGTGTGAGAGAGAGAGAGAGAGACTGTCTGAGAGTGTGAGAGTGTGGGAGTGAGTGTGTAACTTGGAACTTTCTCCTCAAGATCTTTCAAGGCTTCCTTTGACAAATACAGACTTTACTGTGCTTCGTTTGTAGCCTTCATGGAGCCATGACATAGAGGTATCGCAGACCCTTGGCTTGGGGTGTTCACAACCTTGCACGCCTGTCGTTTGCGGGTAATTCAACATGACGCAGACACCCAACAAATGGGTACAATCTTTAGGACGTGCTGTTTTCTCGAAGCTTCCTTCAAGCTAGGGCCGCAAACGGGGACTTCAGCTAAACCTGGAGTGCAAAGTGGTCGTGACGTCGACCCTTGTGGGCGGCATTTTGCAACGATGAGCCTGAGCATGGCCGAATCCCGTTGGCAGGGCTGTTCGTTGACAGCGGCTGCCGGCGGCGCGCAAGGTTGAACGCCTCTCCAATCTCAAAGGTTTTGAAGAAGCGATCAAAGCAGCATGTCAATGCAGACTAATTACACTACCTGAAATAGTAATGGAAGTGCCAAACCACCTGTTTGTAGAGAAGAATGGTTCCATGATCAGTTCAGCAAGTGTAGCCACCATTGCCAGTAACATTAATCACGGGAGGCTACACACAGTTTTGATACAGTACTCAGTACTCCTTTTGATTTCAATCTCACTGTGTTTAAGCGGGTCCTTTTCAGGTGTGCCGGAGGAAATCCGAGAAGATTTGTTGAACGCTAAGCTGTGGTAGCCTTGCTTCCCATGGGTCACACGGTGGTGACCCATCCAGAGAATCTGATTTTCATCACCTGGTGACCCATGCCGTGTCCGGACAAGTCCCCGGAGAGATCCGCCCTGGGGCCTAAGCGACACGACACGGCAGTCAGGAACGATGGCCATTCAAAGCGCCCAGACACGACCCGTTTGGGACACGGCCGGGACACTGCCGAGAAACGGCCAGGGGTGGTTGACTGGGGATCAATGTAAGCCATATATGGCAGTCCCATGGAGTGTCTGGGAATGGTTAAAAGACCGTCCTTTCGAGGCCGAGGTGTTTTTCATGTATGTAATTGTTTGTAGCTCGTTTGGACTAATGTTTTTGTCACATAAAGAAGACAACGGCTACTTTGGGGGTTGAAAAGCCTTCTTCTATAGAATCATGGGACAAGTCATGACAAGTCACTGTTGAGCTCATGAGCTGCTACGAAGCGCCAGAAAGGAAGTTCTTGTTCAGCCTCAAAGCATCTCAAAGCTCAAAATTCCAGGGCGATGCGCAATCTTCAACCTGGAATGTTTGGATCTCTGGGCACTGCATCTGACGTGACGGAAAAAACCTGATGGAAAACTTGAAAACCCTTGAAATTGGTCAGGCCTTTGAAGTTCAGGAGGTTGCATCAAATATTGATGCAGTCTTCCTGAGTGTCTGAGCATCAGAGGCTCAGTTTTTCCATGGCTTGTGAGACTTGTGACAGTTGCAATTGGTTTGGATGTCATGAACTCAAGGAACGCTTAGGTTGAACGCAACTAGACAGAATATATATACACAAAAAAAAAACATGAAAAAACGCCGCGGTCGTTCCATTTCAGGAAGTTCTTTTTCCAGCGGAAGCGCTGGCGGCCCAATTGACATATGCTATGTGCATTACAAGCGAATTCACTTGGTACTGGCCTCACACTCTATGGGACTTACATATTTATACCCACATTGGAGTGGTTCTATTGGTCAGTATTGACATATATTCCACTGTATTCCCTGACATGGAGTGCCTGGGTTAGAAAAAAAAAGGATATACGTATACTTAAAACAATGTGCCTTTTGGCTGGTTTTAAGGATGAAAAGGCAGACATATTGCACAGTTGGAAGCTCTAGGCAGGCCACAGGTCATGTCAATTCTGAGGTCACGTAGGCGTGTCACTCCCTAACCTTCTGTTCGACCATTAAACTAATGGTGTCTACCTACCTCGCTTTGCAGTCTAAAATTGTAGAACAATTATTGTTCAGTAAGAACAATTAAAATCAGTTGGCATCCTAGGGTGATAGTGAGAACCTAGATGGGAGCCCCAGGTCAGAACTCGACCCGGTCGATGACCCCCAGATGACCCACTACGTAGCTTACGAAACGCTTCCGTTCCGAACAGACCTCTGTCTGTCGCAGCTGCTTCTCGACGGAAGAGGATGGAGCTGGGTTCCTTCACCGGTGGCGTGGCCACGGTCCCAACGGACTCCCGGGTGGTCTGGAGAGAGTTTCGTTTCCGTCTTCCGTTTCCGTCCTGTCCTGTCTTCGTGTCACTTCCCATGCATGTAGAATTTGTTCGGCCTTGTTTTAGCACGTGATGATTCATGATAGCGAGATAGTTTGTTCCCTTGCAGGCTGGACTTTGGGATCAAGCTGAATGAAGCAACCCATTCGGATTAAATTCGGTACAATGTTAAGTCAAGTCAGACTCCGACTGACTCACATGGTGATTCTGGCCGCTGAAAAGATCAGGTGGAAACCTCCACCACGTCGACGGGGGAGTGAAAAACCCCGCTGGTACGCTCCAGTGGACGAGACATCGACTCATATGGACGGAGGTGGACTGTGGTGGGCCCTGTTTTTCGGCGACGAGGTGGACCCGCCAGTCGACTGTCACGTTCGTGAAGCCACGTTAGCGGCACGATCGAAGCGCTCGTGGAGAGCGCGGGGGCACAGTCCTCCCAAGTGATGAAATCAAGACATGGTCATCAGATCAGCATGTACACCCAGTGCAGCCGAGATTCTCTTTTTGGATCTTTTTGGTGAAAAAGACTGCACGGATGATCGGAGATGAATTCGAATGTGTTTCAAGATACACGTCCTGGACCAAACAGGAGTTCAGAGACGAAGGGAAGGCCCTCAAGAAGCTGATGGAAGCTGACGACTGTGGAGGTGGTAATGATAATGACTATTAGTGGTAGCAGAGAAGTGGCGGTGGTGGTGCTGGTGGCGGCGGCGGCGGCAGTAGCTGTAGCTGTAGCACTAGTAGTTGCAATAGCAGTGGGCAGAAGTGGGAGCGTAGTGGGAGTAGGAGTAGGAGTAGGATCAAACGAGACGGACAATGAATTCCGAGGCTTGGAAAGAGCTTGACGCCAATGATATGAATTCCAAGGGCTCAGATTCCCCCTCCTAGCAGTGGATATGTTGCAAGATCACCTGCTGCAAGGCCCCAAAAACACATATGATTATCAACCAGGGTACATGCGTCATCATGTCATGTGGCCAAAGGCCCGAATTGACTTTCTAGAGCTGACGGGCAAAAGCAAGTTCTCCTCAACTCGTGCGGCCTCCCGGAGTGCGGCCTCGAATCAGCTTCAAAAGAGGGCAATGCAGGGCATATTCCATGCTGATGCTATGGTTTGCCCCTTGCGACAGACGAATTTCTGGCAAGACCAGGACCGTTTTTGAGGTCATACCGCTTTGAGGTCCTGAACGTCAAGTTTCGCGAGGCTTGCGGTGTGAGTCAAACCCGCGTGCCACGTTGGGACGCACGACTGCATCAAAAGAAGAGTGGGGGAGATGAGTTGGATTGAGCACACACAGATTTGCTGTGCAATCAGTGACGGACCGAAAACCAGGGCGGCACAAGAGTGACAGAAGGTGAAGTCGCTGAAAACCATTGCTAGTAAGTTGAACCCCACGACTCCATCAGAATGTGGCTCAACATCCGCCACACTTGGATCCAAGCACAGAACAGCCTTGCAAACCTTGGAACCTGATCCTAGGCCGACGTTTGCCAATATTTGCCCCACCCCAGCCTTAGGTTCGGGTATATTATGCACAATATAGTCCCTGTTCAAAACCTGTGGTTGGCCTCCAAACTCGAACTCTTCAACCTGCTAGCACTCACCATGATGGTTCCTCTCGCAAAAACTGAATGCCGCGCCCAAAAGCTTTCATCCACAATCCAGAAGATTCATTTTTTCCCGGACATCGCCTTGGAACTGGTTCACATTGGTTCACCATGCCTTGAAAAGACTGCTTCCAGGAAGGCTCTTCCTCACACCGAACGCTGCGAAGCTGTCCGCCGAAACCGTCGCCGCCCGAGGCGTGGCATCGTCGCTTCGGTGCCCAAGTTGTCCGCCAACGGCCTAGAACCGACGGGTCAAAGGGGGGGCCGCCTCCCAACGGGGCATCCGAAGACTAGGAACAGTCCCTGGGGCTCCTGGCCTTACGACCAGGAGCAAGGTTCGCTGCTAGGAACATGGTTTCTTTTTTTGAGAACTCTCCAGTGAACGCGGATCTTTTGGAAATCCCGGCCCACGGAGGCAAGGCAGATCCCACCCATCCTGCTAGTCTTTTGCCGGGGGGGTTCATGTTGAAGGTAGGTGGTTTTGTCAGGTATTTGGCATATCTTAGATATCTTCCATCCATGTTCTGGGGTGAGTTCAATTTTTGGTGTTTTTGTCAAGATCTCGTTTGGGCTGCCACAGATGAGGCTAAATCCCAGAGTTTGCACAACCTTTCTCAGTGCTTTGTAACCCTCCCTGCAACTGGATGAATTAAAGGAATTGATGGCCTGCAGCAATCTTAGATCAACAGAGGGGCATCCAGCAGTTCAAAAAGACATCATACGGTAACTACCGTACCCAAACGGAAATCGTCGGGAAGTGACGTTTGAACATTTGGCCGGCATTCTAACCTTCAGTCGGGAGTGTAGATGATGGTAGATGATGAAGGTGTTCAGCAACCACCACCAGGCTGTGGTACCTTTTTGGTTGAATCAATACCCCAGCCTTTCGGAACCTTTCTTAAAAATTGTTGACCTGCTTAAAAAGACAAAATAAAATGGTAACACCCTTAAGTTAAACAATATGGTGGTGATGAAACGTGGTGTGACACTTCATGCAAAATCAATCATATGCGTCTCCATTTTCCTGGCGCGCCCTGTCACACACAGGGCGCTCAGCCAAAAAAACCGGACGTGTTGGCGTGCTCGGAGGAACTGATCCCGGCTGAGGCACACGTGTTGTTGCATCTCTTGCTGCTTCGGGCAACAGGTGGCGAGACGCGCGTGCGAGCGTTCCTTCGGGTTGGCGAGAGTGGACCGGGGAGAGTGGACCGGATGGACCGGATGGTGCGGTTTGAGCCATTTGCATGGCTACACGCTGAAGTCCATCATGCAGATGGTAATCATGCGTCACATTGAATATTGTAATGTAAGATGATTTAGGTTCACACCGGCTTGGCTTGTGATGCTTATGTTTTCATCACACCGCTTGCTAATGTTGGTGCTTGGTCGTTTTGTGTTTGGCTTAGGCAATGCGCTCGGTCTGGTGCCGTTCGCGTTCGAGAGAGCTGCAAGGATTGCTGGGACATGATGCACTGCGCCCCATGTGCCACACAATGTTGGAGGCCGCATATGGGCATTGCTGGAAGAGTGGGGCACTTGCAGCTCACCAACCCAAGTCTTCAGAAGTTGGATTCCTTGTGGTCAGTGTCCGAAAAAAGACCACGTACTGACACCTCATTATTCCATCTAAATCTAAAGTATTCAAGCTCCCCCTTCCAGCTGAGACACACGGTTCAATATCAGGCCATGGCGAGTCTCAGCAGCTCTTCATGTCAAGTGTGCATCAGTTATTTCTGTATTTGATGCGTCGTGTCAAACGCCAAGGCATTGCGCTATTGGATTGTGTCTTCGGTGTTGGCGTCATGTGCATGTGCGATAGCACGCGATGGTTTCAGTAGCATATACATACATGTCGGGCAATCGTGATAAGTATATAGACACACACATCAAACCCCACACTGAAAAGGATTTGGCATAGCATACCTGAATGAATGGTCACAGAATAGCAACCTTTCCAGCCCTTCAACTTGCCACCATACACTGTTCTGAATTAAATTAAGTTTGTCGTTTCACTGTAGGTGTTTTGCCTCAGAGGAACATCCGCTTGAAAGACCATGTTCTCACCTCCCAAATCCTGATTTTTTCCAACAGCAAGACGAGCTATTGGGGTTCTTACTTCAAGTATAAGAAGAGGCTTCGGAAGAGGTGCCTGTGTGCGGTTTGGAACGCTGCCAAAGCCTGGGCCTGGGTGCTGGAGGGTGGAGGATGCCCATGCCAGTGTGCTTGGATGCCACTGCAGGGCTCCGCCACGTCGAATGAAAAGCCAAAAAGCGCTGCCACGTGCTGCCCACGAGTATCTTGTGCTATCCGGGTCTATGGCGCGTTTTTTCCTGTAAAGCTCGTATCCCACTCCCAATTTGTCGCATCTCACTTCCCCCTCACCCCACCTCCGCCGCAATTGACCCGCGGAGAAAGAGTCTTGGTTTTGCGGACAGGGTTTAAGGCTTTGCTTTTCAACGGGTCAGAATCCTCTCATGTGGGGAAGAGTGAGGTGATTCCGACGACGAAAACCACCGACATCACGAGGCTTTGGAGTCCAGTGGCATCCAAGGTCCCAGCCACAAGGCGCCCGGGCGCCGCGTCCGGGTTTCCTCGAAACCGGACGGCGGAGGAGAGGATGGCGTGGGGGATCCGCGGTGTTGGGGGCCGGAGGGTTTGGGTGAAGAAAGAAGAGGGACAAAATCATAGGAAGATGCGGCAAAGAGATTGCAAGGGTAGTGTTCTGCTTGGTACATAAGTACGATGAAACGAGTAGCAGCAGCATGCAGCAGCAGGGCTTCCGACAGCAGAGAGTAGCAACAAAGTCAGTATGTATTGCTCAGTGTTTGCTTTCAGAAACTTTCAGAAATGATTGTCTCTTACGAGTCTTCAACTAACTCAGGGGACACCACGAACAGTTGGAGTAGCAGTAGGAGTTTGCTTGAAGTCAGTGGCGAGTCGGGCGAGTCGGTGGTGAGTCTTCTTGCTTTACCATCTCCTTCAGGTGCATGAGTCCGGCTATCGTGGCAGACAGCTGCCCAAAGAGGCCAGACAGCTGTTGGGCGAGTGAACCGCTGTTCAGCGAAGAGGTTGTGAGGAGGAAACAAGTAAGAATTAGGTGCCTCAAGGATCTTCAAGCCTGATTCATCAACTGACCAAATGATCTTCACTTCCACTTCTTACTGATCATCCTACTGATTCATCGACTCACCTGGCATGAAGATGATCAGTTTATCAGCAAATGACTCGTGTTTTCCAAACTCACCCGACGGATTTGCCGCTTTGGACGAGGCCCACACCGTGGCCAAAGTGCTGGTGAGGCCGCAAACATCATGGTTTTGTTGAGGGTGAGTGTGTGCTGTGAGTGTTACTTTTTCCAAATAGGATCTAATAGGATCTAATTGGTAAATCCCCTGAATTGATCGTAATATATCTTATTGGTATTTTTTCAGCTTTTCTCGGTTCCCTTCAGCACATCCAGGAAACTGCCGCAAACCATTCCAGCAATTCCAGCTTGCACATGGCCACTTCGCCAGGCTTGGTGGCTACCATGCCCCGGAGCCGCTCCGTCGCCCCTGGATCTACAGGACGGGGGGGAGCCTTCGTTCGTTCGTTCGGTCCTCGGGACGTCCTCGGGTTGTCGAACATCGGGCGATTCGAAACGGAGTTCTGGGAGGAAGCACATGTTTCGAAAGAATTGACCTCGAACATCGTTCCGCGTCCATCAGAATTCACACCAGAAACACCGGTTTTTTGATAGTGCACATGACTTCGTCTTGACTTGAACAAGCTGTGTCTCCGATGCAGGGCCAGTTCCAGGTGTTTTCCGCTTCACATGGGTCAGACAAAAGCCACACGAATCCAACGCACTGCCAGACTCGACCAGGTGACGCAGACTGGAATGCACTGGACTCGCTGCTGATCAGCGGATCGCTTCAACTGGACCCCTTGAGGTTCCCCCCAAAGGTTCTACTATAGTAATACATGACAACTTAGGGGACCAGCTTAGTTCAGGCGCAAAGAAGACCTTCTGTGCAAACCAAAGCGGCAAAGCTTTGTTTTCAACACCGCTTGCGGGATCCAGTCCTTTGATCCCAGTGACCAGCTTGCCGACTGGTCACCAGTGGGAACCCAAGCCAAAGACCAGAGGTATCCAGTTCCAAAGACCCACCAATTCTCACGGCTGAGATCCACCGGGATCTACAACCCGTTGGGTCTCTGAAGACCAGACCAGCCATCGACATCGACGGAGAGAGTCCAACGTCTTGTGGACTGTCCAACCAGCGACAGTCCGTGTTCCGAGTTCGATTCGCACGAGGCATGCAGCTCTGGGAGTACATTTGTTACTACCTTCATCCTGGAGCCTGGACGAGGGAGGCGTGGAGCTGCAATTCGCCCGATTCGCAGCACGTTGCGAGATGTCATGGCAACTAGTAGCGAACCTTGTTCCGTTCGTAGGTTTGGCCAGGAGCCCCGTTCGTAGCGTCCTAGTTGAACTTGGATCTTGGATCATTTATGAGATTTGATGTCCATGTTGTGAACCAGAAGAATTCCATGTGTTTCTTGTTCACAGCGGTACTTCTGTCGGCGCCCCCTTTTTGCGGAGACGCCGACGACCCAAATGTCCAGTGCTGTGAAGTGATGTCAGGACTTCAACTCGAAGAATAAGTGAGCCAAAGATGTTCGCATTCGTTTGAAAAAAGCGCGGTGAAGACAGAAAAGGACTGATAAGAGCGATCGGATGATCACCTGCAAGGAAGCGAACACGAGTAAGGAAAATCGAGTCATCATAAGTTCTGATTTGGATTTGTTTATTCAACAAAAAACGAGAAAATTCTTGCACTTGAGGAACTTGCAGGTCTTAGGTCTTAGGTCGCACATGATGCTATTACTTGACGAATCTCAAAGATGTATGTCGCTGCATCATTTTGAGCCCAAGTCAGGGGGCTTCTATATAGATTTGATTCCTTCCAGGCTCATTTTCCCTGCCGGGTCTGTGTATGTCAGCGCGGCCACGATCCAGCTCTGCGAAGCAGACCTTACGATCCAGCCGCGGCTTTAACGACCGATCGAACAGAGCGCCGCCACGCCGAGTGGGTCGAGCAGAAACTCGAGATCTCGCCGAGCCAAGATCAGAGGCGCCGGCGCCAGCGGCTGCGCAGGCAGAAGTTCAACATGCACAAACTGAACCTCCGTGTCATCGTGAGATTTGCTCCATATGCTTGGAGGGGCTAGATGATCATAGCTTTAGCTATCCTTGTGGACAAGGGCATCGTTTACACTATGGATGTATGCTACACTTCTTGGCGAATGTTTTGTCTTTGCCTCTGGCAGATGGTAGCCCTGGTCCGTTGCTCAAAGAGAAGGCTCGAGACTTGGGCAGTGGCTTTAAAGCCATTGCGGTTTTGGAAGGAGAGGTGGGTTCCCTTTCATCTTGGTCTCAGTTTGATTGCAATGACAAACCCGCAAAGCCACCAGGTTACCCAAATATTTTTGTAAGGGATAAAGAAGTTGCTGCCAATTTGGTTTGGCCCCCGACCATTCCGCGACTTGAGTATACAGTATATGTATGTTGGCTCCTCGTTTCCATTTTCCGTGCGAGGAGCCCTTCATCAGATGACACCCGAAACTCAAGGCCGCCTTGCTTGTCCACTTTGCCGATGCCCGTGGCCAGACGAGCATCAGCTCTCCCTGGCAGAGGTTGTCTCGCAACTGCGCAATTGTCGACTACGTACGGTGGTGAAGCATTTTGGGAAATTGACCCATGCCTTGCAGGAGGTGAGACGCGTGAAAAGTTTGTTGTCAGAGATGCTGTCAACGAGCTTGAACAGCTTCGTTTTTTTAAGACCGATGTGTTTTTCCCAAATGCGTAGCGAAGGGTATCGTTTAACTTTGGGGGTCTGGGGATAGACTCTTGTTCGCGAGTGTTTGTTGTAGCGTTCGCAACCGTCCGCAACCGGTCCCCGCCGTCCACGGTAGGTCGCTATGGCGCTGACATTAGGCTTTCGGAGAAGGTCTTGAATGGAAGCAAGACGTGTCAGATTCGTGTGAAATAGCGAGGAGATATGTGGGAATGCAACAGGTTGAATGGAGGATTTTGCTGCGCAGGCGCGGCGTTTTGTGAGATCCTCAGTTTCCTTCGCTGTGAGTGTGGGATTGGCGTTTGGAGGGCGGTATGTTTGAGGTGTTGGATTTGGCTGTGACATTGGGATTTGCGTTTCAATCTGTTGCTTCGAAGCTGCGTTTTTGGTGAGAAGTCTCAGCTAAAGTGGCGACTTCGGTGCATTCCAAACGTGTGGTGTGGACTTTTCGTGGCAGGCGCAGTACTTTGTGCGTGTTGGAGGTTGCGACGGTTGGTGGAGGTGAATGTCGCTGTGACAGTGGGATTGGTGTATCAGCGGGTGTCGTTTTTGACGGGCTGCCCTCCCTAGCGTTTCGAAAGCACAACAAAAACAAGGAGATAAACAATGTTCTTTTTTTGGGGGGGCAGGTTATATGTTTAATTGGAGTGTTTGGGGTGCCCTCCATACTTTTGAAGCGCATCATGTCATGAGTATACCCACGTAGAATCTTGGGGCTCATACTGCTTGAAAGGCTGGTGAAGATGCCTGGCCCGATGCGCCCTTGCAAGAGTTCATGTTCTACTTGAGGGTTCTGTTGCCAGAAAAAAACTTGAAGACTGGAGCAAAATGACTTGATCCGGACACAAAGGTGATAAGTGTGGAACTGCAACTTTGATCACAGCTCGCAGGAAACAAATGTAGCAGAAATTCCTGGAATTTCCCGGAGAGAAAACTTGACAATGAAGGGCAATGAAGGGGTAAGCCAAGCTTCATAGCCTGGCCGGGACCGGCTTGAGAGATCAATGTACTTGAAGACTTCATTGGGCGCTTCAATGCAAAGGAACATGTGCACAAGAAAGCTTGAGGTGGAAACGTGGCAGTGATTGACTTCAACGCGTCCTTCACGGTCTTCCTTTTTTGGTAAATGTGTTTTCTTTCCATGTTTGTTGCCTTGTCATGAAAAACCTTCGTTCCATTTTTGCGACATGGAGGTTCTAGGTCTTCACTTTGGAAGGAAGTCTCGTATTGAAGGCTCGTGTTGGAGAGTTTGACGCGTGACTTTGGGAGGAAGTCTCGTGGCGTCATGACTGGCAACTTTTAGTGCATATGTAGCGGTTTCTGGGAGCTGTGGCCTCAGAACTGTGCGGGAAGCAGCTTCTGTGTTACATTCTGGGAGCTGTGGCTTCAGAACTTGCCACTTGGTAGTTAGTACGGGAAGCAGTTTTTTGCCTCAGAACTGAATGTAGTGCGGGAAGCAAGTTCTGCCAGCTGTGGCCTTGCGTTTGTGCGAGTCCGTGCCACTGGGGGAAGGAAAACAAGCTGGTGTAAATTCACATGCCTGGCGATTGGCGTGTGATTGTCTCATTTCCAACCGTGTAGAGTGAATATGAGTGAAGATACTATACGCATGTGGTGGCAAGGTCCCCCATGCAAGATACGGCGATGCATCTTATGAGCGAGTTAGATAGATCGAAAGGTTACTTGTCGAAGGTGTGTGCATGTGGGTTTGTGGGTTCCATCTTGTTTTCTCTGGTCACTGGACTCAAGCTAAGAGCCAAAAATGACATGCGCCTTCCAGGTACAACAGCGGTTTGATGAGAGGGCAGAGGTTGCGGTGTATCGCATGGGCTCTGGGTGGCGTCGGATGGAAAGTCATCTTCATACATGCTCAAGTTTCTTGAGCGCAAGCGTCACTGGGTGCCCGGAAGTGGAGATGATTCTGGCATTTCTGGATGCCCGACATGTCACCAGCCTGTCGGCATCTTTTGCAGCTGGGCGAAAATGCCGAAATGGCGTTCATATTCTGGTCAGATTGGGATTGGGGGACTTGAGTGGGACACAAAATTGAGTTTGTACTAGAAAGAGAGTGTGTAGTGTATATTCATATTGTTTGTAGCTGTCAACTAAGTAGTTTTCATGCATGGACCCCAAACAACAAAGGTTGTGCCGGGAAGACCGCCAGGTTCAGTCACCACATGCTACGGAAAACTGACCCGCAAGGACCAACAAGTCCATCGCTCTGATTTGTTTCAGGCAGATTTCTCAAAAAAAATATTCACACATCGATTTAAGTTTCAATCCGATCTCTAGTTTTTGAATGACATGTTCCCCTCCGCAACCACTTGCCTCCTGCTCCCACATCTCACCAGACACCCCTCGCGTTCTTCCATCCACCCCTCGCACGGGGGTTTCTTCCCCTCTTTCCGCTCTCAGTCTTCCATGCTCTTCGGCTCTTTCTCCGGCTCGCTCGAAGACCGAGGCCTCCGCGTATCGGCACTGCTGGGCCGATGCCAAGTTGAGGGCGCCCAACCTGAAAGTCGCCTCCGTGCGCTCGGCCCCTCGGAGCTGAAAGAAGATCGATGCATTGCGGTGCTCAGGGGCCCTCGGAGGCTTCCCGTGAGGTCAAGCACGGCTGTTCCGATTGCGCTCGGTCGTAGCGGGTACCCGGTGGGGTTTGACCGGTGGGGTCATCGGGGAGCGGCCGGTCGCTGATGAGAGAGAGGTGTATATATACAGAGGTGTTGGAGGAGGACTTAAGCCTTAAGCGCTAGATTCTGGGTGGGACAATCCGAAAGACAACGGGGAACAACGTTTAAGAAGTTCGGAATTCTGATGGATGACTGCAGATACAGAAGCATAATGATACGCTGGTAATCTCCGTGGCATATTGGGGTTATTAGGATTAGATATAGGTGCAGTCAGAAATCGTTGAGATCTTGTTTTGAGGCGGAAGGATTTGTCCCCAGCAAATTGGTCATGTTTGTTCGCTTTGAGGAGGCTGCTCTCACCAAAAGCATCCCACCATCGCCGCCATCAGGCCACTCATCGCATTCTTCCATCCGCTGCAAAGACGTTGCTGGTGGATCCAAATCTGGGCTCACCCGTGTCCAGAGGCATTTCAGGTCACGTGACACGCGATAGTGGAGGAGTGCGGAGGGTGCATGGGTGGGTGAAGCGATAGGATCTTGTCTTACATCTGACACTGAGTGAGGTGAAGCGACTGTGGCTAAAAAATTGAAAAACGAGACGTCTCAATCTTTGAAACCATGGTTTTTTCTACCAGCACCGGAAGCCCTTCCCCAAAAAAGACTCATGTATCTCCATTGGATATGCCCCGAGGTTTGGACGTGATTGCATTCTCGAAGTGGCTCCAGAAAGCTCGAAGCATGAAGGAGATCACGATGAGCCTCGTTTTGATTGCATAAACCATGATAAACCATGACACGACCTCCATGGGACTGTAATTACATACATCGGGGTGGTTGAAAAGGGGTGAATATAACTGAATATAGGTAAATATGCCAGTCCCATGGAGTGTTTGGGATTTGTTTCTGTGGGTGAATCCCTTCTGGGGGAAGATTCTTGTTCCTGTGGGTGACCAAAGCTCCAAGTGACACTTAGGTCAGAAGTCACTCCTCCCACAGGTCAGTCAGAATAGGTCCCATCTCGTCTCTTCTTCGTCTCTTCCGGTAGCACCAAAACCGCTGCATGCGCAGAGTGAAACTGCCTGTTTCTGCCCTACTTGCGAGATCAGATGAGACTCTCTTCAATCAAACCTACAAAACCGCAGCTGGATTCGGTCACCCGCGATTCAGCAGATTTTAG